ATCGTCACCAGGCTTGAGGGCATGCTATTCCATTCAGATATGCATAGAGAGAGAGGTGAGTATTTGTAGGCGTTAGTTCTAGAGAAAATGGGTTCGACTTTACATGGATGATCTAGGCGAGATGAAATATGATGAGCCGGGAAAATAAATTTTTTTTGTGACCATGGGTTGTAGTATAGTCTGTGGATAAAAGAGAGCCGTTCGTTTTTTCTACGAGTTTCGAGTGTATGGAGAGATATGGACTGTTTTAGACAGGAAATGCTTTTTTGAGAATAATCGCGAGTAATAAAGCGAGTGGCACGATTTTGGACAGCTTCAAGTTGGTTAATGAGATACAATTGATGAGGATTCCATATGATGGACGCGTATTCCAGTTTCGTCCGAACTAATGTAGTGTATGCTAAACGTTTGACATACGGGTCTGCGAGATAAAGATGTCGTCTTAAAAATCCTAATGTTCTATTTGCTTTAGAGCAGATATAGTCAACGTGGCACTTCCATGACAAGTCTGCAGAAAGGAACACTCCTAGATATTTAAATGTGGCCACACGTTCTAGTTCACAAGATGAAATAGAGTAAGTGTAAGTGAGTTTATTTTTTGATCTGGAGAACGACATAATTTTAGATTTATCCAGATTAATCGTCATGAGCCAAGATTCACACCAGGTAGTTAATTTTTCTAGATCGTCTTGTAGAATTACGCAATCATTGATGGAAGAAATTTTGCGATAGAGCACAAGGTCGTCAGCATACAATCTCACGGTGGAAGAGAGGGAAGAAGCAATGTCGTTTATATAAATTAGGAAAAGAAGTGGGCCAAGAACTGAACCCTGAGGGACGCCGGAAATGACATTCAGTGGAGAGGAGGTAACATTATTGACAATCACAGATTGGGTGCGATGAGACAGGAAGGCCCGAATCCACGAGACAAGGTTACTACTGACGTTTAGATGGAGGAGCTTAAGTATTAATCTGTTATGGGGAACACGATCAAAAGCTTTTGAGAAGTCTATGAATATTGCATCAGTTTGTTTTAAAGAGTGCATGTTAGTATGAAGATCGTGGGTAAGTTCGAATAATTGGGTAACACAAGACAGTTTTTTGCGGAAGCCATGTTGATTAGAGAACAACAAATCGTTACTATCGAGATGAGACATTATGCTGCTAAAGACGATGTGCTCTAAAATTTTGCATGACACACTGGTCAGTGAGATGGGCCTGTAATTTTTTAGCTCATTCGGATTACCTGATTTGAAGATGGGTACTACGTTAGCATTTAGCCAATCAGACGGCAATTGGGAGAAAGCTAGGGATTGCTCGAAAATAAGGAGCAGAAATTTGGCGGAAGTATATTTCGTTATTTTTAAGAGTCTGGAGTTAATTCCGTCACAGCCAGGTGAGGAGTTCACAGGGAGTCGATCAATAACATTCGAAATTCCGTCTATGGAGAGGTAAATATCCTGCATGACCGTTGGGCTTTCGATGCTAGACAGGCAAGGTTCTGGAAAAGTTTCGCGTGTAAATATCTCACCAAAATACGCGTTAAAATTGGAGGCAATTACCGCGGATGATAATGGGCTATCTTGTGGATCTACGGTAGGAAGTTTGGCGCCCCTGGGTGTAGGATTAATTATAGACCAAAACTTTTTGGGATTTTCAGTTAGTACCTTTTTTAGGTCAACATTAAAAAACTTATGTTTCGCTGACTGGATTACGCGTTTGCACTCTTTGGAAAACGCGTGAAAATGAAGCCAAATTTCATCAGTGTTTAACTTTACAGCCTTGCGGTATAAACGTTTTTTCTTATTTAAAATGCGCTTTATTTTCACTGAGAACCAGGGGGGAGATGAGTCTGAGGTAAGTATCTTTTTAGGAATAAACTGGTTTGCGGAGCTAAGCAGTGTGTCCTTGAAAAAAGTCCAATTGACCTCGACTGAACGGTCATTGAAGGAGTTTTCGAAGTCTACGAATGCCCGGAGAAGAGCGGAATTCAGATCCTCTATATTTGCCTTGGGGTAGTCCCAAATGATTTTCGAGGTCTTCTCTTTGTCTGGTACCTTTTGTGAAAGATTGATGGCTACGAGGGCATGATCACTAATCGGCGATAGGAAATGTATGGAAGAGACATGTTCAGGATGAGTAATAAAAAACAAGTCTAATGTTGAATCGCCACGTGTTGACTGAGCAATTTGTTGATGAAGTCCAAATGCAGAAAGCAGGTGCATAAATTCTAAACACTCTAAGGGGTTACTACATGAAGGAACAACAGAACTGTCCGCCCAGTTAATGCCGGGAAAGTTGAAATCTCCTGCTAGGATGATAATGTTGTCAGGATAAGTCAAAAACACTTCGTCCAAGCTGGTGCCAAGTTCATCAACAAAATCTCTTCCAGAGTTGGGGGGGCGATAACACACTCCCAGCACAAATTTTTGAAACGATATTTTAATTTCAACCCAAAGAAGTTCAAGATTAGTAGTGACTGTCACAGCAGCAGACTCTAAACCTTTAATAGCAATCAAAACGCCTCCTCCTCTGCGATGAGTACGATCTTTACGGTATATAGAAAAATCTGAATCAAGAAGCAGTTCACTTGGAACGTCACTATTCAGCCATGTCTCTGTGCCTAAAATAATCTGAGAATTGCACATGCGCACATGATCAAGTAGAATATCTTGTTTATTAAAAATGCTGCGAAAGTTTGTGAACAAAAATGAAAGTTGGTGTGCATGGGAGGCACGATCAGGTGACCTTGCGGGAGGTAGTCAAGGGCGCGTGCCGCTGACACAGTGTTTTTCAATCACACTTTCGCTCTGAACGTCGTAAACAAACACCTTATCGCCTACGTACAATTTGTCGTGCACAAGTCTGGTTCTCATCCTGTCCGCTCGAAACGTAGAGCCGTATTCCCAAAGCTTGCCACGTGCGAGGCGTATCTTCGGAGAATAGTCGTTTTCTATCCATACCTTAATGTTAAGGTTTTTTAGCTTGGGAGCGTTTCTGAATATAGCCATCTTGTCACGGAAGTCCAAGAGCTTTATGATGATAGGTCGATGGAAATCCTGACGCTTCTGCCCTAAGCGGTGAATACGTTCAAAAACGCCAGGCGTCACGTTTAGATTATCTGAGAGGAACGTTCTGACAGTTGTCTCTAGCTGTTCAGGGATTTCAGTGGATTCTTCCGCGATCCCTTTGATGATAATATTGTTTCGTCGTAGCCGGTTGTTAAGGTCGTCTACGGTTGCTGTTAATTCTTCAACAAGTTTTTGTTGTTCCGCAACAGGCCCAAGTTCAGCTTTCACAAATTCAAGGTCCGATTTCAGTGAGGGAATACCTTCAGCAGCCTTGGATAGTTCAGTGACCCTACCCTCAAGCGAATCTACTCTCTGCCGAATCTGCGAAACACCTGCCTCAATCCGGTTTAATCTCGAAGTGTTATCAGTTTGGTACTCATGAGTTGATTTTGTCAGAAGATCAAGAGACTGCATGATAGCATCCAGTTTAGCAGACTCGGCACTTACTGGTCCAGGATTAAGTTCCACATCACCAGACTGCATTAAAATACACGCCAGGCAAAATAAAAGCAGAGAACTGGGTCGCGGACCAACATAGCGCGCAAGGCATATTAGCGGGTCGAAGAGTCGCGACCCTCTGTTGACCGTATATGTCGTTGATTTACGCCGGCAACCGAAAAGACCTATACGGGCACGGTACACAGACAGATCTACACCCATGGCTTGGGATCAGCAGCCAGCAGAAAAAAAACATACAACGGTAAGTGACGTAAGGTATTACCTGAATAAAACAAGCGATGCAGTTAGTCCCAAAGATCAGACTGGCCGCAGATCCCGCCGAGCGCCGTACTTGACAGTCTTTTGTAGCGGGGCGTCCAGGGCACACGTGGGCACAGGCACCAATCCAAACGAAGCAGCACAGTGACTCTGCAGTGATGACAGTGCCGTCGCTGAACAGTCTCGAAGCATCCGTTAACAGCTTGTCATCGTAGTGGTAACGAACTTGATAGTAGGCTGGCCAGGGAGCGATAGCAGAGCCCGTCAAGCGAGGATGCCGTGGAAACCAGCGGGAGCCTGAATAAAACAAGCGATGCAGTTAGTCCCAAAGATCAGACTGGCCGCAGATCCCGCCGAGCGCCGTACTTGACAGTCTTTTGTAGCGGGGCGTCCAGGGCACACGTGGGCACAGGCACCAATCCAAACGAAGCAGCACAGTGACTCTGCAGTGATGACAGTGCCGTCGCTGAACAGTCTCGAAGCATCCGTTAACAGCTTGTCATCGTAGTGGTAACGAACTTGATAGTAGGCTGGCCAGGGAGCGATAGCAGAGCCCGTCAAGCGAGGATGCCGTGGAAACCAGCGGGAGCCTGAATAAAACAAGCGATGCAGTTAGTCCCAAAGATCAGACTGGCCGCAGATCCCGTCTTGTAAGTATTTTACTTTAATACTGCTATACAGCTGTGTGGCTGTTTAAAGGGTAACTTGGCCTAATATCAGTTTAAGAGAACACTTCAGTTGTCTTTTGCATGATATTGAAAACCACATGACATAATCCCCTGAAAAGTTCATTAGACATTGTACGTAGAGAAATGTTTTGATGGGTATGCAGCTGTTGTTCGGTTTCTATTAAGCAGCTGACCACCCAGTCAAGTGAGGTAAAAATGGGGGCGCTTAATTAAAAGCAAAAGATGCCAGAGCGAAATGATCAGCAATGACGCGCAGTTCTGCAGTGGCTGCTGACGAAAGAAGCCGGGTGACCCTCGCTAGAGCAGTTCCCATTTCTGCCGCGAGAAAGCGAGCAACGAACTGGAGACGCAAATATGCAACATGCGGTGCAGTGAAGAGCTCCGTCAGTAGTGTTGTATTTGCGTGGCCAACACTGCACTAGGTGCGTTCAAGACATTTTACCACAAATATTTTTTTTTTCACATAATCATGCCTGGGTTATGCCATGCTTTCCTGAATTAAGTTATATTCACTCCAAATATCCCATGCTGTCTTTTTATGCAGGTTCATGAGCTCAAGCAACTCGGGGGCAAGACTGCAAGCAAGGCCACGAAGCGGATGCTGACGTATCTGCTAACTGATGAGCTAGCTGCACAGTTCTCGTGGATCGGAAGAAAGGGAAAACTCAACTTTTCAGTTTTAAAGACTGCCACTGCAATTACTGGTAAGCCAGAAACTTGAGAAAGTAACTATTTTGACGTCAAACAAAACTAATCTAAAGGTTTACTCTTAGATGTACGACATCACTTCTAAAAAGCTCAAAAATCAATTTTTTTAAATATTTGTCCATCTTCCATGTAAATAGTAGCTTACTTATTTTGACAGCAAGAAAAAAGCCACGTTTGTATTGTTTACCAGCTTTCCTGTGAATGTGAAAACATTTTTTAGCTATTTTCATATCAGACATTGAAGCAATCATTGCTGAATGTTTACCACCTTTTATGCTACTTACTAGGCCAATGGCAAAAGATATGGGCCTTTCGAGTCAGTCACAGTGCCTGGGAAGACATTTTCTCTTGAGTTGGACCCCTCTGAGAAACAGACAACAACAAAAATCGCTCGCACTGCTCTTCCCTCACTTGAGTAATTTTGTCTTTTTACCAGGTTAGCATGAAATGGACCTGGTTTATGTCTTGCATAATTCTGTACATTGAATCTTTAGATACTTTGCCCATCTTTAATAACTCGTGTGGCCTGTCATTCTTTTGTAAGATGCACATTTTCAAGCAGAAGCAAGTTACACTAGACAGCATAAAATCGGTCTTGCAGTGTATGGCAACGCTGGCTTGTGTTATGGATGAGCAATGTAGCCAGTGCAGTATGACTATGGCGCCCGGGACGCGTCTCTGACTGGTGAGTGGTAAGAAGTGACAACTGCAAAGCAAGCACTTCATGCTGTCAATTGTCACCATTCTGGCAGTTGGTGGTGGAAATACCAGAACACCAATGGATGTAAGGATTTCTGCTGTTGCGACGTTTCGAACCGTGTCTAGGTAGTTTTTGTCAGCTGACTGTCTGCTGAGCGAACTGCAACAGTCGTTTGCCGCAGCTCCTGCTGTGCCGCCACCAGGGTCGCAACAGGCAACAACACGAAGGTGTATGATGCCACGAGTCGGAAGACGAAAAGCCAAAAATAAAGACTCGATAAGCACACCAGGTGAAGATGCGTTTCAGGCACTGTAGTATGACTGCTAAGCTGGTTTTTTTTTAAGTGCACCAAGCAGTAGTTAATTGCACAAGCGCATGCTGGTATGATTCTTACCCTAATTGGAATGGGAACGGCTAAGGACTTGACTCAGGATCCGTGGGTTCTGCCAAGCAAATGTTTGCTCCATGTGCTCCGAGCTGCTTTGCACTAGCATGATCGACCACTGATCCCCTTTCTTTTTTCAAGCATTTTTGGGTATAGTGTTGTTAGGGTTATGCACTAATCTGGTTTCAGATGCTGCAAAGAAGTTGCCAGGAGGTAAAGATGCCATCGAGGACTCGATCAAGTCTTGGCTTCGGCACGCCCCTGAAAGGGCCAAGGGCCAAAGGTGCAAAGCACCTGAAGCGCACCAAAATGAAGGTATGCTTTTCATGCATGTGTAGCCATAGGGCTTTGAAAATGTTGCTTTTATGAGGCCAGTGCAAAATAAATATGATACCGTAAAATGCCGAGCATCTGCCCACTAAATACTAAGCACCCACCCCCAAATTTTGCAACATCTGAAAAAGAATGCGCAGTACACACTGTGGGTTCGCTATTTTAGCAAAAAGTCCTCATCAAGGTAACTACCAACGTCATAGTCCGCTCTTTGCGCGGCTACGGTCGGGTCCGTCCATTCACTGCCTCTTGGCTCTGGTGGACAAAAGACTGCACCAACACAGTGAGCCCATTTTCAACGTGTCTATTGACTCGTATGCCAACACGCTTCGCTCTAGGACAGTGAAAGTCTGGACGCTGGCTCAGTGGCTAGTATCACCCGGTCGGTTTCCCGCGCTGCCGCAATAGACAGATTCACGGGAAGTTGGAAGTTCACAAAGAAAAACCGAGCTCAATAGAGCAAGAGCTTCCGCCGAATAGAGCCCCCGGCCCAGGTTTGGGGCCGGCTTATATAGCCTTTCGGGAAATGGACGCGCCTTGGGGAGGCCGGTAGAAGTTTAGCCCGGAAACGGGACGCATCCACAATCACTCCCAAGGGTGCGCCGGCGGCTCTTTCCCCTTACGAGGGCAAGGGGAGAGCTGTCTTTTTTGGGGAATACGGCCTCGAATCCTCGCATCCGAGAAGCCGTCGCTATGATGGCGACGACCCCCCATGGCCTGCACGTGGCTAGGGCTTAGATAAGGCAGAGAAACCTAGTGATTTCCACAACACATACCGTAGAATACCGCGCATCCGCCCATACCACACTAAACGCCCATACCCAAATTTGAAAAATCTGAGAAAATAGGCACAGTACATTGATATATAAAATTGATGACCGGACGAGCGCCCATCCTCTATTTTTTCGCAATTATCTTTAAATTTTGAGTGGGCGCTTGCCCGGTATTTTACGGTAGGAAAAATTGATGACCTAACGAGCGCCCATTCCCCAATTTTTGCAATTATCTCCTTATTTTGAGTGGGCGCTTGCTCGGAATTTTATGGTAATTCATCCCATTGATTACTACAACCGTATTGCTTTAATGCAGTTGAAGGTTTTTCAGCCCCCTCTGTGGAACAGTAGCTAATGCGTCCCATCCCAGCCTGAGCCATTCATTTCCCCGCCAGAGGATGTGTTTCTTTGGGACGACAAAACCCCCGGTGGTTAAACAAATCAGGAGACTGCCACTATGGCATTTCTCAGTGCTCAAATTTGGGCCATAAAACCCCAAATTTGGATTGCTTTGCAGAATCTCATTTGTTAGTGTACCCCAGCTAAACAGACGGGACAGAGGAAAGGAGACAAACAGGCGCTAACTATGGTACCCGGTACCCCTTCCATGTGCTGTTTAGCTTAACAATACTTTTTTTATTGTTCTCTTGCTTAACCGCTACAAGCCGACAATGTACTTGTTAGCAATTATTTTTTGGCTTTCAGTTGAATAATGTATAGCAGCCACAGTTTCTTGTTTATTGACCTGCCACTTTTTACTTTTCTTTTTGTGAGGGCGTATAATGCATACCATATTTTTATTCTTTTTGTGCACTCCTTTCTGGTTAACTATTGTACTATATTTGGGCAGTACTTTTTTTTTTTGTCCAGGAGATAAAATGTACTCCCCTTTATCTTTGAATTTCTAGAGTCGGATTGAGAGGCCTTGCAGAACTTCCGACGCTGGAACACTCATCAGCAAGGAGCAGAGTGCCAGCGGGGAGTAGGAGGTCAAAACAGCTTTCCTTTGTGTGCGTCTGAGGTTTCGCGTGCAAACTTTATATATATCAGACCACAGCAGTTTCTTTTGAAGTTCATTATGCCAGGCCTCTTGTACGTGCATTTGTTTTTTCTTTCATACTTGCCTTTCACTGCCTGTGAACATTGTTTCTGTGCTCTTGTGGATTTGCACCGCAATATTTTTTCGCACATCTGATTTCAGGTGGAGTGACTTTTTTTTTTACTTTTAGTGTACAAGTTTTTGCTGTGCTTTTTTTCACAAAAAAAGTTTTTTTTAAGGAAGTTCCATATAGTGTGGTGCACCTTGCAGTGGTTAGCTACCCTTGGTAATGTTGCAATAAAACCACTGTGATCCACTGTGCATTCCAGCTGAGGTGTTGTTTTTGAAGTTGTCTTTAATGACAAGTGAAATACATTTTAATAGAAAATTTAAAGATTTTTGGTTTGAATTTTTGTGAAGAAATGTGTTCTTCCTTACACTTAGCATAACATTCGTCAAGGTTGTAATGCTTGTATGGCACTGTTTATTCATACTGTGATATTTTGAACATGTCTAAGTTTAGACAAAGTGAATGCTTTTGAAGGGGTTTGCTTGCCATTTTTTTTAACATGCTATAGTGTCGCTTATTTTTGATAAGATGTTACCAAAGAGGCTGCATATAGCATGGTGTACCCTGCAGGGGTTAGCTACCCTTGGTAATGTTGCAGTAAAACCACTGCGATCCACTGTGCTTTCAGAATAAGGTGTTGTTCTCGAAGTGGTCTTTGATGACATGTGTTACATTTAAAAAAAAAATTTGGTTTGAATTTTTGTGAAGAAATGTGTACTTCTGTGCATTTGGCATAATGCATGTCAAGGTTGTAACGCTTGTATTACATGTTTATTCATACTGTGATATTTTGAACATGACTAAGTTCAGTTGGAGGGAATAATTTTGAAGGGGCTTGCTTGTCATTTTTTCTTTACAAACTATAGCATTGTTTATTTTTGGAAAAGATGTTACCAAAGAAGCTGCATAGAGTATGTTGTATGGTCGCGATCCATGTGCAGGCGATTGTCAACTGCTTTGTACTGGCAGCACCGGACAAAAGCGGCCATTTATGCACATTTTTTTTTAATTCTCAGAGGCTTTGCGAACCAGGCGCAGAAGGGCATCCGATAACAAGAGTAAGCCGCCACTGCATTACGTGCCAGGACAGAGTGATCGACGATCCCCTGTTTTCCTTCGCACGAATCATGACTACCTCGCAAGGACTGCATGTTTACCCCTGCTAACATCGTTGCAGTATGATCATTGTGATCAACTGCCTGTTCCTACTGTGTTTTTTTATAAAGTTGTTTAGGTGTGTAGTTACACTTAAAAAGTGTTGCTTTTAATTTTTGTGAATAAATCTGTTCCTCCTAACTTTTAGCATATGGTTCTTTAGAGGTACAAAGTTTGTACAGTATAATGTTCCTCGTTATTTTTTTCTAATTTTATTAAATCTTTTTAGAGTTAAACGATGTGACCATGCTGTTATGCATCATCTAGAGAGTGCAGCACAGTTAGCGTGAACATGCCTTTGCCAACTTTTTCTGTTTTACTATGACAAGCAAAGCCAGGTCACCAAAACGATTTATGTGGTCGAAAGGGCTTAACTGGGACACAGCATAAGTGATAAAACGTTGCCTCTCGAAAAAGTAGTGATATGTTCTTTCTAACTGCGTCATAGTATGTACTTAACATTTATGTGTAACTTCGTGCAACTTGTTAAACTTGCATGTGAATCCTCTCAGGAAAGCTCTTGATTAAGAATTCATTATATTTTTCCTTTACCCGAGCGTTCAAAATGACCAAGATGCTGCTAAATCAAGGTGCTCCTCTTGGAATTGCCCTTTCCTGTGCATGTCGGAGGTTTCGTGAACCATATATTTTCTCACTATACCCACATCTATTTCTGGAAAGAGTACATCCTGTCATGCCTGTGGCAACCAGTCCTTTTTGGTTTAGAGGGAAACCGTGCAAATAGAGGTCCATAAATAATATGACTCGAAATGGTGAAATGTGCTTAGATGGTTAGCATGTTAATTTTATGCCCACTTTTCCTGCACAGCTTGTTAATTTAGCTCGGTTGTATCCTGGGCCTTCTCATTTGCTAGTCTCTCTTAAGCCACTGCAAAGAAACAACCTTCTTTAAAACAGCTTAGTTATAGAATTTGCATCCCACATAATGCATTCCCTCCCATCTCCCCCCCCCCCCAAAAAAAAAGAAAGATATTAATTGGATGGTACTGATTTGGAGCTTTCCCGAAACTGGCACTTAGACACATTTAAGTCCATTTTCGGGAGAACTCAAATGAGTCTGATGTCTTCGATATTGCTTCTTGGGGTATAGATTGTAATCAGGCTGCGTAAAAAAAAGCTTTTTCTTTTCAATGCCCTTTTAAAGCCACTATAACTAGTTCCTGCATCAACTGCAGAAAACTGGATGAACAGACATTTTTAAAAAATAAATGTGGGAAAACATGAGAAAATATGGCTAACGAACGTTCTGGCATGCGTAGGGAAAGGCATTTTGAAGGGAGCATCCTGACCGGTACGGTCCAGGTGAGCTCCAGTTAGGATAAAAAAAAGGATGTCCCGTGGATGTCCGTTATCCATAAAAGGTTATTCTTTGGACATCCGGTGGATATTTTAGCATGGAATATGTCTCTTTCTGATCATCCGAGGGACGTCCGAAAGTCCGACTTGGATGTACGTGGGATGTCACCTGGATGAACAATTTCTTTGCACAGGCCCATCCTACGGACGTCCCCAGTATGTCCCTGGGATTTCTGCGGATATCCTATGGACGTCCCAATGTTCATTGCAGGATGTCCACCGGATGTTCCTTGGATATCTATTGTCCAATGGGTCGTGCTTCACTTTAGCTCATCTTGCGCCAGAAAGTGCAGAAGGGGACAAAATAGAAAGTGTCGGGCCAGTTGTACTGTAGGGGCATGTCTGAAAAAAGCTCTGTAGGGTTGTGTGGAGGCCCTCTTGCAGCACATATGTGTATTTGTCCCTTCCCCAACAATTTGATAGTTGTACGTACCTATAATGGTTTTCTAATTACGAGCGAGCGGCAGCTCTTTGATGTCTTGCTCGCGCTCTGGTGAGCCTTCAAACGACTAGCCGCTCCGCCGAGCGCGCGCCGCACGAGATGAATGAATTAAAATAATCTCGCGCGCATAGCGAACGTTCCTTTTACCCGAGGGAGCGCTTCAGAACAAAAAAGCAAATTGTGGTAGCAAATGATGAAGCGGTGAGCAATATCGAACCTGAAAATGACTGCTTTCGTGCGGGAAGTCGCATCAGTGCTCGTACAGTAATCTATCGACTCGATCCGAGGTAAACTACAGTCGTCGGGTCTTCTACGGAACGCGTGCTCACGTTTGACACCAACATCGCGGCTCGGAAACGAATATTCAGCCTCGGAGGTCCGAACACGGGTTCGGAAATCAGAATTGGCCGCCATGACCATGCCCACGGTAAAAGCGTCGTAGCTTCGCGAAAGCTTTTATTTCACACGTTCAAAGTGGTGTCCATAGAGTCTAGAAAGAACAAGGAACACATCGGTGCTAGCGGTGATGAGATACGACCAGTATTAATGAAGGAAGTGTCTATTCTGCCGGCAGCCGGCAGAATAGCCGGGGGGAGAAAAAGTGCCGGCAGTAGTCGCCTATTGGGTCTCGTATAAAACGGATTGTAAACACGCCTATTCCGAGCTGTGGAGTAGCTCAGTGGGTAAGATGTGCGCTTCGTACACAGCAGGATGTTAGTTCAATCCCCCGAGAGAATTTGTTTTTTTTTTTTTCTTCGGACTTTTGTTTTTTGTTGAGGTATTAGGCGATATTTACGGCATCTCTCTTTTAGAATTAACACTACAAAAAGAACACGCAAAAAAAAAAAAAAAAAAAAAAAACAGAAAAAACACCAGAAATCATCCGAGTTCTCCGAGCGGTTTTAATAGGTCGATAAAACAACTTTTGCGTTTGCTATCTCGAAGAAATTTGACACACAAACAGTCCTACCTGGTGCGAGACCCTTCCCCAACAATTTGATAGTTGTACCTATAATTGTTTTCTAATTACGAGCGGGGGCGGCAGCTCTTTGAAGAATATCAATCCACTCGTGCTCGGGAGACCGTCCCTGTTGATCGAAAAGTCTCGATTGAGATGAGCTGACACGGTTTCACTGCACACACATTTTCCTACGATGTTGTTTTCACGACCACGATCGATGAATGCACTCCAGCGGTCTTGAATATTCACGGGTGAACGATTGAACTTGGTCGGGGTTTTTATTCTCCAAGCAGAGTCCCAAAAACCTGTTTTCGCGAGTATAACGAGTTCTAGACGAGCTGGAGCGATGAAAATTTAACAGTGCGTCTAAATTCAGAGCGCGATCATTCGCTGCGAATTAGAACCTTCCAACTATCGTAGTTTTCTTTATACGAGGATATGCCAAATCACAACACCACAGAATGAAGCCTTACACGTAAACTTTTTAATCAACACTTTCTTATTAGATTAGCTACATCGATGAGACGCGCCTATAATGTTCCTCGGAACATCCCACTCGCCTGGTTAAAATAAATGACCCAGCTAGCACTTGTGGATTGATATACTTGAATACAAAGTACAGAGATACAAAAAAAGAAAAGAAAACGCAAGTTCAAAGGCTGTATAGATAATACAACGCCGCTGACAGCGTCTTGCAATAAGCGCAACAGAGAACATTAAAAGAATGTATGTGCTCGCTTTTGGGCGAGCACACACATAAAAAAACACATTTCTTTTTTTTTTTTTTTTTTCACGATTACCATTGGAAACAATCAAATTTCTGAATAACACTGATAAGGTACTTACTTCGTTTCCGCAGGTGTGCACAGCAGGGGCCTCTTTGTCCGTTTAACCTCAGATTGTTATATTATATTAAAAACGCAACACCAGGTAATCCGTAAAATGGGAGAGCGGAACAGGGGAAAATTGTAATGTAATAGCTCACAACAAAGTTGGGAGGAGTGGAAGTAGTGGGCAAGAGGAAAATTAAAACACCATGCAAAGGGTTACACATCAAACAAACGCTCCATCGACTGCAAAACATTGTCAGATACAAATCTGCGATGAGGTAGGCTGTTTGATTCTGTTATGGTTCTGGGAAAAGAGTATTTAAATGCATTTGTAAGCAGATCAAGACCCTATGGCGTCGGGAAGTATTTAAATTCTTTTTTTTTATATTTGGTTTTTATTCATTTACACTGCAGGCCATTTCCAATCCCCAAGCAGGGTGCGACGAGAAGGAACAAAAAAATAACAGTAAACCGACAAATCTGGTACACTGGAGATCACAAAAAGAAAGAAGAAAAAACACAAGTTCAAAGGCAATGTATAGATATAACATAACGCCGCTCATAGCGTCTTGCAATAAGCTCAAACATAAGAAAGAAGAATTTATGTCCTCGCGCTTTTTTATTTTTCACGATTACCACGGGAAAAAATCAAATCTCTGAACAAACTGATAAGGGACTTACTTCGTTTCCGCAGGTGTGCACAGCAGGGGCTTCGTCCTCACCAGCAAAACACAAAACAACAGATTTTTCCTTTTTTACCTCACATTTTAATAACCTCACACTTTATTAGGCCGACAATGCAAGTTTGCAGACGAGAGCTGTCTCGATGAAAACACACTTGTTCCTATTCAGTGAATTCGCACGAGCTAACACGATTTCATAAAAACACTTTTTGCTTGGAGCAAGTTCTCAGTTGCCATTCAAGCGGTCTTGATTAAGCACAGGTCATCCGCAGCTGAAGGAGGTCACTTGAAACGGAGGGCCAGCCGTGCAACTCCCTCTTGCGCTGCACAAAAAGACAATCTTTAGCGCCCTACATTAAAGATGCACCGAACGTTCTTACGCCACACACATATATTTTTTTCTTTTCTTCCGTGCGTCAGAGAGTGATGAAACGTTTGAGTTCGTAGAGGCCGGCTTCCTAGCTCGGCGCCGCCGAATTCCGTGTTTCGCGTGAAAAGAACAAAAGAATTCGTGCAAGAAGTCGGCTCCAACGGTCGCCCAGGAGACAAAGGAGCTGTAGCAGACGGCAGAGGTTCGGGGAAAGCTCACGCCACTAGCAAAGCCTGGACAAAAAGAACAATTAGCGCCTTAGTTTGCGATTAAATAAGCTTCTGTACGCGCTTAATTAATACACAAAGTCGCGCTTTCCCACACGGCCAATGCATCAATTCCGATTTCCACGAGGCTCCCCTGCTCCTTCAAAAAATCGCCAAAAATCAACAATTCGTGCTACAAGTCCCTGCTTCGGACGATAGGTAGCGAACAATTAGCGCCTTAGTTTGCTATTAAATAAGCTTCTCTACGCGCC